AAGAAATAGAAGAGGATACCAAAAAATGGAAAAATCTTCCATGCTCATGGATTGGAAGAATCAACATCATCAAAATGTCCATTCTCCCAAAAGCAATTTATAGATTCAATGTGATACAAATCAAGATACCGAAGACCTTCTTCTCGGATCTGGAAAAAATGGTGCTGAAATTTATATGGAGACGCAGGAGACCTCGAATAGCTAAAGCAATTTTGTACAACAAAAACAAAGCCGGAGGCATCACAATACCAGGTTTCAGGACATACTACAGGGCAGTTGTAATCAAAACAGCGTGGTACTGGTACAGAAACAGATGGATAGACCAATGGAACAGAATAGAAACACCAGAAATCAACGCAAACATCTACAGCCAACTTATATTTGATCAAGGATCTAAAATCAATCCCTGGAGTAAGGACAGTCTATTCAATAAATGGTGTTGGGAAAACTAGATTCTCACGTGCAGAAACATGAAGCAAGACCCCTACCTTACACCTTACACAAAAATCCACTCAGCATGGATTAAAGACCTAAATCTACGACCTGACACCATCAAGTTATTAGAGAACATTGGAGAAACCCTTCAAAATATTGGCATAGGCAAAGAATTTCTGAAAAAGACCCGGGAGGCACAGGCAGTCAAAGCCAAAATCAACTATTGGGATTGCATCAAATTGAGAAGTTTCTGTACTTCAAAAGAAACAGTCAGGAGAGTGAAGAGACAACCGACAGAATGGGAAAAATTATTTGCAAACTCTGCTACACATAAAGGGTTAATAACCATAATCTACAAAGAGATCAAGAAACTCCACAACATCAATCAAACAACCCACTTAAGAGATGGGCCAAGGACCTCAATAGACATTTTTCAAAAGAGGAAATCCAAATGGCCAACAGGCACATGAAAAAATGTTCAAGGTCGCTAGCAATCAGGGAAATGCAAATCAAAACCACAATGAGGTTTCACCTCACCCCGGTTAGAATGGCTCACATACACAAATCTACCAACAACAGATGCTGGAGAGGATGTGGGGGAAAAGGGACACTAACCCACTGTTGGTGGGAATGCAAACTGGTCAAGCCACTGTGGAAGTCAGTTTGGAGATTCCTCAGAAACCTGAATATAAGCCATCCCACTCCATGGAATTTACTCAAAGGAATTTAAATTGGCAAACAAAAAAGCGGTCTGCACCCTAATGTTTATTGCAGCACAATTCACAATAGCCAAGACCTGGAACCAACCTAAATGCCCATCAACGGTAGACTGGATAAAAAAATTATGGGATATGTACTCTTTAGAATACTATACCGCAGTAAGAAACAATGAAATCCGGTCATTTGCAACAAAATGGAGGAATCTGGAACACATCATGCTGAGTGAAATAAGCCAGTCCCAAAGGGACAAATAGCATATGTTCTCCCTGATCGGCGACAACTGACTGAATACCAAAAAGGAAACCTGTTCAATTGAAATGGACACTATGAGAAACGGTGACTTGATCAACATAGCCCTGACTGTTAATGAACAACTTTATTCATTATCCCTCTTAGTAGTTTTTTTTGTCTGTTCTACTTAATACGACTGGTTTAATTATGTAATTAATACACAGTTATTCTTAAGTGTTGAAATTTAACTGAAATGTGATCCCTGTTAAACATAAGAGTGGGAATAATAGAGGGAAGAGATGTACAATTTGGGACATGCTCAAGCTGACTTGCCCCAAATGGTAGAGTTAGAAACACACCAGGGGACTCCAATTCAATCCCATCAAGGTGGTATGTACCAATGCCATCTCACTATTCCAAGTGATCAATTTCAGTTCACAATTGATCATAATGAAAGGACTAAGAGTCAAAGGGAGCACATAAACAAGTCTAGTACCTGCTAACACTAACCGATAGAATAAATAAAGGGGAGAGTGATCCAACATGGGAAGCGAGATACTCAGCAGACTCATGAATGGCAGATGTCCTAAATAGCACTCTGGCCTCAGAATCAGCCCTAAAGGCATTCCGATCTGGCTGAAGAGCCCATGAGAGTATTTCAGGCATGGAAAGCCAAGACAATCTGGCAAAAAAAAAAAAAAAAAAAAAAAAAAAAAAAAAAAACCTAAATGAAAGATCTCTGTGAGTGAGATCCCAGTGGAAAGAACAGGTCTTCAAAGAAGGAGGTACCTTTCTCTGAAGGGAGGAGAGAACCTCCACTTTGACTATGACCTTGTCTAAACAAGATAAGAGTCGGAGAACTCAAGGGGCTTCCATAGCCTTGGAAACTCATGACTGGAGCATAGGGAGATTACTGAGGCCATAAACAGGAGTGTCAATTTGTAAAGTCAACAACAGGAGTCACGGTGCACTTACTCCTCATGTAGGATCTCTGTCCTTAATGTGCTGTACATTGAGACTTAATGCTATAACAAGTACTCAAACAGTATATTTAACTTTGTGTTTTTATGGGGGTACAAACTGTTGAAATCTTTACTTAATGTATACTAAACTGATCTTCTGTTTAAAAAAAAAAAAGAAGAAATTATCAATTCCCAACTTGACTCTCACTGGGATTAAACATGACAATAGGTCTGATCTGATTTCATCATCATTTAAAAAATCATCTATTAATTTTCACTTTATGTTTCTGTGTGGGAGCAAACTGTTGAAATCTTTACTTAATGTATGCTAAACTGATCTGTATATAAAGAGAATCGAAAATGAATCTTGATGTGATTGGAAGGGGAGAGGGAGTGGGAAAGGGGAGGGTTGCGGGTGGGAGGCATGTTATGGGGGGAAGCCATTGTAATCCATAAGCTGTACTTTGGAAATTTATATTCATAAATAAAAGTTAAAAAAAATTGTATACTTTTACTAATGAAATTGAATTGTTTGGTTTTTATTAGTTCTTTTATTTCTCTTATTGTGAATTACTTATTTATGAAATTTTACTATTTCTGAGCTTTTCTCTTTTTATTTCTAAAAGCTATTTATACTTTAAAAATATTGACCCAATCAGTGACTTATAAATATTCATGTCACTCTCTCTTTTCCCTTTTTAGCCCAAAAATCTTTTTTGATTAGAATTTTATATTTGCATGGATATACTATTTTTATTGAAATTTTGTTTTAGTGACATGATATTTAAGAAAATTAAGTATAGTGGCCAGCGCAGTGGCTCACTAGGCTAATCTTGCACCTGCGGCGCCGGCACACCTGGTTCTAGTCCCGGTCGGTGTGTCGGATTCTGTCCTGGTTGCCCCTCTTCCAGTCCAGCTCTCTGCTGTGGCCTGAGAGTGCAGTGGAGGACGGCCCAGGTACTTGGGCCCTGCACCCACATGGGAGACCAGGAGGAAGCGCCTGGCTCCTGGCTTTGGATCGGCGCAGCATGCCGGCTCCAGCGGCCACTTGGGGGGGTGAACCAACGGCAAAGGAAGACCTTTCTCTATGTCTCTCTCTCTCTCTCTCTCTCACTGTCTAACTCTGCCTATGCAAAAAAAAAAAAAAATTAAGTATAGCACAAGATCATAGATATAGTCACATGTGTTCTGTATTATTCTCAAATATTTATTTTTTCTATTTGATTCTTTATTCCATCTGGTGTTTGTTTTTGTGTGTGTACTATACGGGAACAAAATATAAGAATATTATTTTAGGCCTATCAATAAATTTGCATGATTTTTTTCATGTAAGTTCTGTACATTCTCTATTAAATTTTTCCATTGATGTTTTAAATTTTCATTACTAATGCCAACTAGATAGTTCTTCTATTATTTTATTAAATCAGTTGTGTTAGTATATATAATTTTTTTGCTGTATGAGTATTATTCACCAATATTAGGTATTTCTCATCACCAATATTAGTAGAAAGGATACTAATTAGAACTTTGCAATTAAGTATAACTTTAAATAGTTAGATAGCTATATTCTTTAAGGTTAAGGAAATTGATATTCCTAGTTTATTATACTAAAGATATCTAGACATATTATGGATGTGAATATGAATGTAGATGGGGTATCACTGTCCTCAAATCTTAAAGAAAGCTGTGTGATTTGAAAGGGAAAGAGATTAAGTCAACTATGCTGACAGGAACATAGCAGATTGTATTAACAGCTTTTCAGAAATGGAAGCATTTCATTTTCTTAGATTATACTTTTTAAATTCATTACTAGAGTTTATTGGCTTTATTTAGTCAGGGATCTCTATTTGGTAAGATTTACTTATGTTTTCCCATATTCTCTTTGGTTGCTTGGGGTATCAAATTTATACTAACCTCAGAAAATGAAGTCCTTTGCTTTATCTTTCTTTCTATTACTTCATAGAAATAGGGACAACATTTGTTCTTTGAATGTTTCACTAAAATTTCCTGTGAACTTTCATTGATTTATTTATTGTTTGTAGAAAAGCTATGTGGAAATTAATTACATAAATATCTGCCTTGAATGTCAAAACTTAATATTGAGTGAATGAATCAAGTTACCAAATAATATTTACAGTAGATATATCATCTATTTAAGATTTAAAACACATGAATCTCTGTTTTATTGTCTGTGTGTGTATGTATATGTGTACATAGTTAATAGAATGGAACATATAGAAACCAAAAAAGGATAATTCCAAGATGGGGAATATACTAATAGAACTAGAGATCATAAATTTTATATTTTGTTATATTTAAACTTCTTACTTATTTTAAAAGTGTGGTCTTGATTCAAGTGCTAAAATGTCAACAAGAATGTGTTCTAGGCTATGGGAATATGGAAACAACTGGTATTTATATTATTCATAAAAATGTTCTGGTTTCTTTTTATTTTCAAAAGAAGTTTTAAAAGTCTGACCAATTTTATCAGATGAATTTTTAGCTACTACTTAAAAGACCTTTAGATGAACTATACTAACAAAATTTTTAAAAATTATTCTTTATGTTAAATAAAAATGTTTTACTAGATTTGATTTTCAGGATTTTGACACATAAAAATGTTTTAATTTTGAATTTTTAAATGTTTTCCAGCTTTCAGATATAATGATGACAAAGAAGAATATAGAGGTATTTAAAATTTCTGTTCTGACACATTATATGTCAAAAGTATTATGTGGGGGCTAAAGTAATGTACACAATATGTATATAGCTATAAATACAGGTAGAGGTCTCACGGGAGAGAGTTGGAAGCAAGAATAGAAGCTTTCTGTTTGTGCCTAGTCCATATTTCTTTATACATAGTCTAGGTAAAATTCTTGGTTATTTGAGTATGTATAAAATTATTTCTAAAATATTTTGTTTGGCTTTTGGATTTGGCATGGGGTATACAAGGACTTTTAAGTTTCAAGAAGCAGAAAATATGAAGATTTTTCTTAAATTCAATGTAAAATCTTTTACTTGTTTTAGTAAAAAGAATTTAAATAAATTTGTTAATTGAGTGATATTTAAATATTTGTCCTTTGTAGTCATATGAGACTACTACACTGTGAGTAAAATAATAACTACTCTATGATGTTTCTTTTTTTAGGGTTGTAACTTCCCAGGATTCAAAACAAATGAACTTACTCAGCTACCCAGACATTTGGATGCTGAACGAATTTATCTTTTTGTTTTACAATCCCGAAACTATGATGTATGTAAATATTATCTTTAGGATCATTGTATAATAAAGTTAAGACTATAATGAATCAGGCCTTTATTTAAAACCGTGATAAATTAGCTGTTAAAAAAATTGATCCTTTGGACATTAAATTTGTTAGTAAAGACCAGTGATGCTCATTCCTTGATTACCAGAAGAGAAAACATTAGACTCTTTGTTACATTCACAGGAGTCTGAGGTTGCTAGTGTGTATGGGTTTGAAAGAGTAACAGGTGGTTTTTACTCTCTGTTCCTACTCTATCAGCTCAGGATATTTCAAACTTGCTAATTTTGACCCTGAAATAACTGATGAGAGCACTTCTCTGCAATCCTTTTGTTGTTACTTTTGAGCCTCCAAGTGTCCTGAGGAGTTGGGTAGTATCCTTAAAAAATAACCAAATGATAGAAGATTGCATATAAAAGGTGGGAGTATTAATGGCCAATGATTATCAGGGGTAAAATGGGGGTGGCTTATTACTGGTAAAATTGTTTATTTTACTCTAAGTATTTTAATTTTCTACTTTTTATGTTCATATGCTTCATATACATTTTTTAAAATTTATTTGACAGGTAGAGTTATAGACAGTGAGAGAGAGAGACAGAAAGGTCTTCCTTCCGTTGGTTCACCCCCCAAAATGGCCACTACGGCCGACGCTGTGCCAATCCGAAGCCAGGAGCCAGGTGCTTCCTCCTGGTCTCCCATGCGGGTGCAGGGGCCCAAGCACTTGGGCCATCCTCTACTGCCCTCCTGGGCCACAGCAGAGAGCTGGACTGGAAGAGGAGCAACCGAGACTAGAACCCGGTGCCCATATGGGATGCTTGTGCCACAGGTGGAGGATTAACCAAGTGAGCCATGGCTTTGTCCCCTCATATACATTCTTTAACATTAAAAGTACTAAACCTGGGGCTGGTATTGGGGCACAGGGGGTCAAGCTGCTGTTTGCATCACTTACATCCCATATCAGAATGCTGGTTTGAGTCCTAGCTGCTATGCTTCTGATACAACTTGTCACTAATGTTCCTGGGAAAGCTTCAGAAGATGGCCCTAGTCCATGGATCCCTGCCACCCACGTGGGAGATCAGGATGTAGTTCCTGGCTCCTGGCTTTAGCCTGTTCAAGACCTGGCAGTTGTGGCCATTTGCAGAGTGAACCAGTGGAGAGAAGGTCTCTCTTGTTCTCTGGCTCTTCTCTCTCTGCTGCTCTACCTTTCAAATATAAAATAAATAGATCCTTTTTTTAATTCTTTTTTTTTTTTTTGACAGGCAGAGTTAGACAGTAAGAGAGAGAGAGAGAAAGGTTTTCCTTCCGTTGGTTCACTCACCAAATGGCTGCTACGGCCGGCGCACCGCACCGATCCAAAGCCAGGAACCAGGTGCCTCCTCCTGGTCTCCCATGCGGGTGCAGGGCCCAAGCACTTGGGCTATCCTCCACTGCCTTCCTGGGCCACAGCAGAGAGCTGAATTGGAAGAGGAGCAACTGGGACAGAATCCAGCGCCCCGACTGGGACTAGAACCCAGAGTGCCGGCGCCACAGGCGGAGGGTTAGCCTAGTGAGCCGCGGCTCCGGCCTTAGATCTTTTTTTTAAAATACTGAACCTAAGTTGAAGCTATTACCAGTTGTACTGTTTACTAAGTAGGATATTTAAAAGAAATGCTCTCCACAGATTAGGTGACAAATTTCTTGTGATATGTTTGCATGATATACTCTGTGTAGACTTGAGATAAATAATTGTCTTGCTATAAAAGTTGTCTGATGTTGTGTGTGTAAACTTGTATTTGAGGAGTAGGAATTTGTACCAATGGATTTCATTAGAAAAATATTGCATTCTACTGAGTCTGGCATTTATAAACTTTGGTGAATAAGAAAAAAAAAATGATCAGTTGAATATGCCTATTTAAGCAAAAATGTATAGTCTCTGTCATTACCAATATATTTAACCTTATGTACCAATTTTGATCAATTTCCATGACTGTTGATCCTTGTCTTTAGTGGAAAAATGAAGAAATTATGTATCTTACATTTTTGCTATTGTTTCTCTATCCTTGTAATAGCAACTATTCATGTATTATTATTGAACATATGAAATATGGTTCATGCAACTAAGGACCCCAATTTTTAATTTTATTTCTTTTAAATTATAAATAAAACTAAACACTATTATTTGCTTCCATTATTGAAAAACTTTAAATTATGTTGGAACACAATTACAGTCATATATTTTAGAATGTCTATATAGTGATCTGGTGTTTCTGATGAAAATGTATTCAAAACAAGATGTGTTATAAATATGAAATATAAACCATCTTTCAAAGACCTAGTACCAAAAGGGTAGAAAATATTTCATTTGGTTAAATAAAATGTCTTCAGGATTAATTTCACCTTTTACTTTTTCAATGCGGCTACTAGAAAATTTAATATAAATGAGTGATTCCTGTTAAATTTCTGACAGTGCTGGCCTATAATCACTGAATACATACTATTTTTTTTTTTTATTTTTGACAGGCAGAGTGGACAGTGAGAGAGAGAGACAGAGAGAAAGGTCTTCCTTTGCCATTGGTTCACCCTCCAATGGCTGCCACGGCCGGTGCGCTGTGGCCGGTGCATCGCGCGGATCGAAGCCAGGAGCCAGGTGCTTCTCCTGGTCTCCCATGGGGTGCAGGGCCCAAGCACTTGGGCCATCCTCCACTGCACTCCAGGCCACAGCAGAGAGCTGGCCTGGAAGAGGGGCAACTGGGACAGAATCCGGTGCCCCGACCGGGACTAGAACCCGGTGTGCCAGCGCCGCAAGGCAGAGGATTAGCCTAGTGAGCCATGGCGCTGACCATACATACTCTTTTTAAAGCCTATTTATGTTAAAATATTTTGTGATTTTTAAAATTTGATTTTTTTTTCCACAGGAAAGAGTTTTTAAAACCTGGAAGATGTATTTTCTCTCAGAAGCCTCCATTGCTCTTTTGCATGACTCTTTCTGGTGGTGGTTTCTCCATAAATTTAAGGTGAGTGGAATTTTAAGTTAATTTTTAGCTTAATTAATTTTTCTGTGGAAGTAACCCTGACAAAAGCTTTTTTTCTGGATTGCTTCACAGAGATTAGTTTTTAAGCATCCCACACATGTTAGAAGTCCTCTTGAAGTCTAGAGTTCTTTCAGGAAACAATAATTTATATTTCGAAGACTCTAGATCTTCATTAATCAAAAAAATGGTTAGTGAAATTAAGCATTACAGTGTGTAATGGAATTAGAGATTTACTCATTACAATAATGGACTTGTGAACACTGAATAGAAGACCTATTGCAAATAAGTGACATTGAAGGAAATTCCATTTGGCAAAGATTTTACAGATTAAACAATGGATCTTAATTGATTCAGAAACATCAAGATTCTGAATAGGACTAAAAACACAAGGAGAGGATCATCTGGGAAAAAAAAAAAGAGTGGAAATGCGCACCATGTGAGCTAACAGTGTTTGACTAGAAGAACCTTACTATTGATATTGTAGTATCTTTAATTTTTTGAAAAACTGTCCTTTGGACCTTGGCTCACCAAAATTTTTAGAAAGATGGAAAGTACATTATTTCTACCCGTATGACAACAATAAAAATATATATAACCCAATAAGTCACAGTGTTTTGAACCTATCATACACAGTAAATAATCAAACAATGAAATCAGGAACAAAGAGAATAATTATATAATGATAATACAGTCAATTCATCAAGATGTTATAATAAAGTTATTTATGTACATACCTAATAAAAATAACTCACAATGCATCTAATAAAAATGTTAACACTTCAATGAGAAAACAACAAATCCATAAATATGGTTGAAGATTTCAGCTTCTTACTCTCAATAACTGATAGACTATCTCAAAACATCACTAATGTTATAGATTGGTATAGAAGAATTTAGCAATATTATCAAACATCTTATCTACAACATTTATTTATATTTGATTATTTTTTTAAATGTAGAATTAGAAACAGACAGAGATTTTCTATTCACTGTTTCATTCTCCAAATGCCTACAAGAGCTAGAGCTGAACCAGGTTGAAACCAGGAGCCAGGAATTCTATCCAAGTCTCCCAAGTGGGTGGTGAAGGCTTGCTGCCTCCCAAGCTGTGCATTAATTAGCTGGATGCTAGAACTGGAGAAAGAGCTGGGATTTAAACCCAGGCACTCTAATATGGCATGTGAGTATCCCAAACAACATAATAAACTGCTGTGCCAAGTTCGTTGTCCAACCAATGACATTTATTTTTTTTTAATTTAAAAAAATGTTTTTTGACAGGCAGAGTGGACAGTGAGAGAGAGAGAGAGAGACAGAGAGAAAGGTCTTCCATTGCCGTTGGTTCACCCTCCAATGGCCGCCACGGCCGGTGTGCTGCGGCCGGCACATCCTGCTGATCCAAAGCCAGGAGCTAGGTGCTTCTCCTGGTCTCCAATGTGGGTGCAGGGCCCAAGGCCTTGGGCCATCCTCCACTGCACTCCCGGGCCCAACCAATGACATTTATTAAACATCCCTCTTGTGTTAGTCCCTTTTATGCTACTAAAACAGTATACCAGGGGCCAGTGCTGTGGCATAGCAGGTAAAGCCACTGCCTGCAGCGTTGGCATCCCATAAGGATGCCAGTTCGAGACCCGGCTGCTCTTCTTCCAATCTTCTTCCAGATCTCTGCTATAGCCTGGGAAAGCAGTAGAGGATGGCCCAAGTCCTTGGACCCCTGCACCCACATGGGAAACCCAGAAGAAGTTCCTAGCTCCTGACTTCGGATCAGTGCAGCTCTGGCCATGTGGCCATCTGGGCAGTGAACCAGTGGATGGAAGACCTCTCCCTGCCACTGCCTCTTCCTTTGCTTCTGCCTCTGCCTCTCTGTAACTCTGACTTTCAGATAAATAAATAAATCTTTTAAAAAAAATAGAATACCACAGACTAGATCATTTATACTGAACAGAAATTTATTGATCCATAGTTCTGTATTCTGGGAAGTCTGACTGAGGAAGCAGCATCTGTCAAGGATTCCTAGCTGCACCACCCCATGGAGATATGTAGAAGTGCAAGACTGGGAAGAGAGAGTGAAGAATTGAGAGAAAGAGAGGGAGAGGGAAAAGGGGAGAGAGAAAGAGAGAGTAGGTATCTCACTCCCACATAAATAACCTATTTCCTTGATGATGGCATTTATCTATTCATGAGGTCAGTGCTGCCGTAACCCACATAATTCCCTTTAGACTCTACCTCCCAACATTGCATTTTGGTGATCAAGTTTCCAACACATGAACTTTAAGGGACACATTCAACCATGGCACCTACCAGCAACAACAAATACATGTTTCTCAAGAACATGTTAACCATTTACCAAGATAAACTACATCCTGAGCTAGAAAAGCACCCTGATAAATTTATAATAACTCAACTCATATAAAGTGGATTTGAAGACCAAAATGGTATTATAGATGAGTAATAGTGAGATTTCTGGAAATTCCCCTAATATCTAGAAACTAAATAAAACATTTTTCAGTAAACGTGGGTCAATCCAAGAATCAACAGTGAAATAAATTCTTTTCAACTGAATGAAAAGGAAAATACAGATTAAATTTTAGGGACAGTAGCTAAAGCAGTCTTTAGAGGCAAACTTGTGGCATTAAAATTCCTATTTTAGAAAAAAAAGACAAAGTTCTCAAAAACTATGACCTTAGCTTCTACCTTGAAAAGCTAGAAATACATGAAGAAATGAAATTGAAGGCAAACAAAAGAATTAAATAATAATAACTAGAAAGGAAACCATTAAAAATAAATACGGAAAAGAAAGAAGAATTGCAGATCACTCTTTTCATATGCTGATTTCATTTCCTTTGGATGAGTTCCCAAGAATGGGATGGCTGGGTGATACGCTAGATCAGTTTTCTATAATGGTTGTACTAGTTTAAATACCCCCACCAACAGTGTATAGCTATACCCCCATGTTTATGGCAGTTCCATATGTATATATATGTATATGGAATTGCCATGTATATATATGTGTGTGTGTGTATATATATATATATACACATATACATGCACACATACACGCAATGGTATACCACATAGCCATAAAAAGAATGAAATCCTGTCTTTTACAACAAAATGGATGCAAAATAGAAAGCATTATGCTTAGTGAAATAAGCCAGACACCAAAATATAAATATCTTATGTGATTTGTGGTAGCTAATATATAGAATACAAAAATGTAATACATATGAGTTAAGTTGACATCTTGAGATTTGTTTATTGCTTATAGTCTTTTCTATACTCCTGAAAAATAGTGGTCTTTTCTTATTTTCTACTCATTGAATTATTTATTTAGTGGAGGATTAAGCCTTTAATCATAAACCAAATTTTAAATATTTTATCTCAAAATTTAAAAGAAAAAAGAGAAAGGAATGAAGAGGGAGGGTGGATGGGGGTATCATTACTTATGTGCTTAAAATTGCACATATGAAAATGCACTAAATCTGATCTCTTTATACAAATTTAAAAAGAAGAAAAATGAAGCCACATATGCTTGCTTAAGGGATAAAATTACTTTGGTATCCAAAATTGAAATAAAATATCTCAATTATTAGAGAAGACGAATAACAAGAAGAAAAGGAGCAGGAAGAAGAAGGAGGAAGAAGGAGGAGGAGGAAGACAAGAAGGAAAAATAATTAAATAAAATCAATGAAGTAAAAAACTGGTTATTGGAGAATTCTAAAAAGTAATACAAAAGGAATTTGAAGGTTGTGTTTCATGAGAGTAACTATAGCAAAAACAAAATCAAAATACAGTTCAACAATGTACTTAGTTGACTTGAGTCCCTAAAAGTCTATGGAAAAAAAAAGGCATGCCTATTTGCCAGCTTAAATTCTATATATCACCATTTCAACTAGCCTTTTGAAGATGCCAAGCTATCAAACAGAAATTATAAGACGTATAAAGAAGGAGCAAATAAAGTCAGAGATGAAAAAGGAAATGTAACAACAAATACCACAGAAATAAAAAGAATCTTCAGGAATTACTAGAAAGAGCTGTATGCCAACAAATAGGGAAACAGAAAAAGTGTAGATTGCTGGACACATACAATCCACTAAAGTTGAGTCATGAAGACAGAGAAAACCTAAACAGACCAATAACCAATGCAGAGATTGGGTCAATAATAAAGACCTTCCTAATAAAGAAAAACCCGGACCAGATGGCTTCATAACTGAATTCTACCAAACATTTAAAGAAGAACTAATTCCAATTCTTCTCAAGCTATTCAAAACAATTGAAAGGGAGGGAATTCTCCCAAAATCCATTTATTAAACCAATATCACCTTAATTGCTGAATAAGAAAAGGATACAATGGAGAAAGAGAACTATAGACCAATATCCCTGATGAACCTAGATGCAAAAATCCACAACAAAATATTAGCTAATCAAATCCAACAACACATCAGAAAGATCATTCATCCAGACCAAGTGGCATTTATCTCTGGTATGCAGGGATGGTTCAACATTTGAAAATCAATGAATGTGATACATCACATTAACAAACTGAGAAACCAAAAAAAGATTTTTCATTAGATGTAGAGAAAACATTTGATAAAATACAACATCCTTTCTTGATGAAGACCTTAAGCACTTTGGGTACACAAAAACATTCCTCCACACAATCAAGGCAATCTGTGACAAACACACAGGCAGCATCTTATTGAGTGGGGAAAAATTGGAAGCATTGTCACAATGATCCAGAAGCAGACAAGTTTGCCTACTCACACTTGCTATTCAATATAGTCCTGGAAGATTTGTCCATTAGGCAAGAAAAAGAACTCAAAGGGGTACAAATTGGGAAGGAGGAAGTCTAATTATCCTTTTGTAGATGACATGATTCTATAAATAGGGGATCCAAAAGACTCAACTAAGAGACTATTGGAGCCCAAAAGACTCAACTAACAGACTACTGGAGCCCATAAAAGATTTTGGTAATGTGGCAGGATATA